GCTTCAGCCTCTCCGGCTCCGCCGAATTCGATCGCTCCAGCCCCATCCCCGTGAGTCCTTACCTCCTTTCCCCCCACCCCAAGCAGACTCCATCCAATCCTCCCGTCTTTCAGATGCTGAACGCCGTCGTCACCTACATGGTCATCCTCCTCCAATTCGACACCACGATCCCTCCCCCGGAATCCAATTCGACATCCGCTCCGAACTCAACCCCCAGCACCCCGTCCCAGCTCCTCACGTCATTCGCATGAACACCTCCAGGATTCTTTCATCCGCTTCACATTGGAAACGCACAAATTCTCCGTCCATTAATATTACATGCCGACATCGCTGTATCGCACATTCTCGCTATATCGCACGTTCTTTCCTAGTCAGTTTGGAAAAAAGTAAAGGAGTTCTTTCGATTTGCGCTTTCTCTTCGCAGGTCGTCCAGACGAGTTCAGTTGGTTTTGGAATTGGCTGAAATTGGCTAATTTCCGACATGTAGTGAACTATTTGACCTTCTGAGAGGACTGATGCAGACAGAAAAAGGACGAATTTTGGTCAATTTTTTGCTTCCGAATACTGCATTTCCGAGGGAAAATTCATGAAAATGGAGTCAATCAATCAATCAATGGTTTCATTCACCCTGGCTCGGTTCGCGAAACAAAAATCGGGGCACAGTTCATCCGAGCAACCTTCGACTGCCTGGTTACCTGGTCTCTTCCCGCACCAGACTACCAGGCGGTCGCAGCGTTCCCGCTCATGATTCATCTCAGCATGGCTCATAAACGTTTCTCAACAACTTTTCTCTGCGAAAAAGGCAGTTCATCATACACTCCATTGGCGGCTCGTCGGAGGAAGCAAGGGAGGCCCTTCCCCATATAATTGAAATATTCTTTAGGATAGCAAATAACAAAGAAATCACTGATAATCATTGGATTCATTCTACAACGACTCAAAACGAGCTAAGTCCAGTCTCTGACAGTTTATTCCTGCACAGAATCGCACGTATTTGATGGTTTAATGCCTCTTTGCAAACCCGGCTAGAACTTGTTAAAAATATGTAGCTTTTACTACGCAACCAATAGCAAATTCCAGTAGCAAGCTGCATGCTACAACTTCAATTTTTTTTATGAGCCCCCAAAATCTCGACTCCTTGTGGGTCTGAGTTGTGGATCGGCCAAATCTGCACTAAATAAGGTACCGCCGGGGGGCCGAATTTAAAAACGCCACCTAGCCTATGACCAAACCCGAACCAAAGGAGGAAGCCATGCAATGTTTGGTCGGTCTGGGATCCTCTATGCAACCCGCCATGATGAATCTGACGACACATCTCTGATTGACTGAGCACCGATTCCTTGTGCGTTATGTTGAATCCAGCTCAACTCTTCGCACAGACCACAGAGCCCAGGATTTGTCGTCACAATGGCACATGCGCTATGCTTTGCGGTTGGTGTGAACCTAGCTTTAACATTTTCCACTTACCTGCTTCTCCAGTCCCATGCTCCCACCCAACTCCCCTCTTCCTTCTGTTGCTTCCCTTGCAGCTTCTTCGTTACGACTTTCTTTTCCCCATTCGCATCCAGTGACTTTTCGGTCGCTCTCCCCTAAGCGGCTGTTACCTTAGCCCGAGGCACGAGGCCTGGAAGGCCATGCCTTTAAAAGCCGTGGGCTAGGCAGCAGGACTCAGGGTGGGTTCCAGAACGCTTGTGGATGCGAATGGGTCAAGAATTTTTTCTTTTTGGAATCGTCTAAAAGCGATGGCTTTGTTTTCGCGTCTTCCCTTTTTCCAAATATCGTATGTCGTTTTTGGGTGTCACAGAAAAAATTCCCTTCGATATCGGAGGGCGTCACCGCCCTGCCTTATGGAATTACCCTTCTGCCTGCGATTCCGTTCTAAGGCAGTGGTAGTACCGTAGCGTGCGACGGCAGGGCTTCGACAGGCCGGATCTGGCCCGCGCACCACCAGCTGCCGACCCCCGCTCAACGGAATTCCTCATGCATCACGTCTTCCAGTATATCGGGATGAAATCCCCAAGCTGGATGAAATCCTTCCACAGAGTATGCCACCTCATTGAAGATCACCCCAGAAAGGATAGCTGCTTAATAAGGCAGACTAACTAAAGAGAGTGATCCTACGATCGACGCTGAGCTGCCTTAATTGGTGGGGGATGGAAGCGATTAGGATAGTTGCGGCTGCTTTCGGGTTC